GTGACCCTCAAAATGGCAACACTCTGCATTTGCCTTCAGCTCTCTAAACCACTGACATCAGAAGTATAGGTAGAGAATTCCAGCTGAGACAAAGCTGATTGTTGGCTGTGGTTAAACGGAGCATCCCTTACCAGGGCAGCAGTGTAGTATTATTTAGCACAGCCTCAAAAACATCAGCGTTCTGGAACAACAATTCAACCACAAAGAAGCCTTTCAAAAAAAAAAAACACGAAGCTGCCTCTTCCCTGCAGTTTTCAAAACACATTTTGCAACATAAGCTTTATAAAAGCAGCATTTCTGCTGGCCTGTTTGGACTGCATTCATTCAGCCAGGATGTTCACCGTGTTCTACCAGGTCAATTATATCCTATAGTGGCTATTTTCATCCATTTGATTTAGAGTTAGTAATATTGGGAAGGGGGGTTTGTGTTCATTTACTATTACAAAGAGTTGAACTACAGATGGGCTTTGAGTTGTTACACACAGTATTTCAATTATATTTATGGGCAGATTCATTCACAGCTTTCAAATAGTTTTCTCTTTGTAAAAAATATCAAAAATTAACACGTTTTTGCCAAATAATTATTATTTATCAAACAATAAACTAACTAGGTAACTTACATTTAAAAAAAAGAGGTCCAGTTTTAGGCTGCACAGTATTAGAAATATATGTTTTGCAATTTCATTGTGATACATTGCAATGACAGTAAGACAGTATGATGAATGGCTGCATGCTTGTGCAATTGTTAGCACTGCTGCCTTGCAGCAAGATGGTTGCAGGTTCAAATCCTGGTTGCAGCCATTCTGCATGGAGTTACTATATTCTCCCCATGCATGTGAGTATTTTCTCACATGGATACAAGTACAGTTCCCCAGCTTTGGAAGCACTCTACGGTCATACCCATCCCCAAGACCAGCAGGGTTAAGGCTCTCAATGATCTTCGACCTGTGGCTTTGACCTCTTTACCGATGAAGGCTATGGAGAGGATCTTGAAACATCACATTATCAGAGCCTTACACCCTCAGTTAGATCCACTTCAGTTTGCGTATCGGAAAGGGAGAAGTGTTGATGATGCAAAAACATTCATCTTAGACATGGTTCACCGACATCTGGAGATCCCAAACTCTTCAGCTAGACTGCTGTTTGTTGACTTCTCTTCAGCGTTTAACACCCTGCAACCTCACATCCTGGCTGGCAAGCTCACTTCTCTTTTTTACCTGGATGATCAGATAATCCTATGGATCCTGGATTTCTTAACTAACAGACCACAAAGAGTTCTGGTTAACAACACTCTCTCGGACCTTCTTTACACCTCTACTGGCACCCCACAAGGCTGCGTGTTGTCTCCTCTACTCTTCATTCTCTACACAGATGACTGTAGATCCATCCAGCCTGACAGTTACATGGTAAAATATGCTGATGACACTGTGCTCCTGTCTCTTCTGTCAGGCCCTACTGTTTACCACGGGCAGGTCCTGCAGAAGTTTGTGGATTGGTGTGACACTGCATGCCTGGAGCTGAATGTGACCAAAACCAAGGAGATGGTGGTGTCCTTCTCAAACAAACAGAGAGCGCTGGTTACCGCTGCCTCCACTATCATTCATGGACAGCCAGTGGAGCTGGTTGAAGAGTATAAATATCTAGGGACCACCATTGATCACCTCCTGAAATTTGCTTCCAACACCGAGGACATCCTCAGAAAGTGCCAGCAACGACTCTACCTCCTGAGGAAGTTGAATTCATTTGGAGTCAGGAAGGACATTTTACTGACTTTCTATTATTCTTTTATAGAGAGTGTTATCACATTTTCCATCCCCTGTTGGTTTTATTCTGTCAGCCTGCAGTATAGAAGCCGTCTACAAAGCACCGTCAAGGTGTGCTCTCGGATCATTAGACTACCACTGCGAAGCTTAACTTCTCAATGTGACCAGCATACAGGAAGTTTAGCACAGAAAATCATTAAAGACCCATCACACCCTCTTCATACTGTTTTCGAGTGGCTGCCCTCCAAACGCCGACTTCGATGCCCATGCTGTAAAACACAGAGGAGGAGAAGTTCCTTTGTTCCCAGAGCTGTGCTTCTTCTTAATTTTCAGTGCAGATAGGGGGGGTGCATTACTTGTATGTGTGCGTGCATGTAGTTACATGTGTGTGTGTGTGTGTGTGTGTGTGTGTGTGTGTGTGTGTGTGTGTGTGTGTGTGTGTGTGTGTGTGTGTGTGTGTGAGTGAGCCAAAGTTTTAATCATTGTTGGTCATTCACATGTGAGTTTATGACATGATTGTGTATATAGGTTTTTATGGGTTTTACAAACGTGTAATTTGGATGTGTTTTTAGAATTTAGAGATTTTAGTGCCGGCTGCTTCACAATGCTGTCTCGAATTGCCCCTCGGGGACTAATAAAGTTGTCTTGAGTCTTGAGTCTTGAGTTCTCCTCATGCTGCAGTTTCCTCCCACAGACCAAAACCCAGTATGTTAGTTAAAAACTGCAAGTCGCTGTGAACAAAAACATCTGCAAAATGAATAAACATACGTGGGTGTGTGTGGGTGTGTATACAAAGAAACTTCTCATTATACACTGAAAATATTCTAAAGAAAAAGACCCTGGAAAACACATAAATGTCTATAAATCTGACAGTTTTACAGATATCAATTAAGTTTTGGTATTGAGTTCACTCTGTAACCGATGGGTTGCTGGTGCAGACATAGGCTTTATTATTGTGTCCTTGGGCAAAACACTTCACCGTCTATGCCTGCTGGTTGTGAGATGGACTGGTTTTGCCCAGGGAGCAATCTCTGCATGCTAAAAGTGAAGTCAATGAGGAAGTGACAAAAATTGTAGTTCCTCCTTCAATCTCAAGGAGTTGGATCCAGAAGGGAGCAAGTTCCCGTTGACTCACCCCTGCATGTGGTGAGTGTTGTTCCTGGGGAGTTGTGCAAAAAGGAAGGGACAATAACACAAGATTTTAAAGTTAAAATGATGATCAGGTCTGCGATGGACTGGCTCTCTCCAGGGTGTACCCCGCCTGATTGCCCATTGACCGCTGGAGATAGTCACCAACCAGTAAATTTAAATATGTAAACAACTGTGATCTCAATGCTAATCAGTAGCATTTGGCCACAATCTGACAGAGCAGGTGTGACATATGGAAACCAAAAAGAAAAAGAAAAAACTTTGTCTATTTTCTGTTTAATTCATCTTGTCTTCTTTTTACAAAATTAGTCAGATGTAAAAATCAAACAAAAACACCTTCAGGTGTTTGTGGCCGTCATCCTACCTAATGTGAGATTAACATGCAATCTGAGCAAAGCTCGTCCACCATTCTCAGCAGTCTGTGAGCTAGTAAGCCTTACACCAAGTTAATGTGAATGCAGATCCCAGATCCAGTACTGGTTAGAGCCATTTAAAATAATCATATAATCGATGCGGGCATAAATGATTATGCATCGATGCAGAAGCGCACTATAATCGATTATAACATAATGTTTGTTTTCCAGCCGCAACATGAATCTTTTAGCCTAGCATCGGCTGATTTTGTCCCTCGCTTCATACGTCATAGTGGAGCGACGACTGCAGCTGCGCACTGGCCCCTTTGCGGTCATGGCGGAACAAAGCTCCGAGTTAGCGTTACAGATAAAAGACCCTCCAAAGACAATGAAAACAGACATATGGAGCCATTTTGGATTTTACCAACAATCAGGAAGACATGATTTGGATATGTCACATGCCATGTGTAAAACCTGCCGCAGCAAGATTAAATACGTCGGGAACACCACCAATTTAAGGAATCACGTAAGCTGTTTCCACCCTGAGTTGCTAACAACAACACCGGCTGTTGAACCGTCCAGCCCTGTGCAGCCAAGAGTTGATGCAGATCTCTAAATAATACCTCCCAACTAGGGCTGGGCGATATGACGATTTTAGACCGTTTTACGATCTACACATCTGACGGTCTGTCATTTTTGAGAGACCGTTTTATCACGATTCACAGCTCTGCTGTTGAATTTCTGCCTCTGAATGAAAAGGGAACTTACCTCAGGCGAATGACATGCCTTTGTTTGACCCTTAACCAATCAGAGTGAGTCATAGAAATATATTAGTGCCTGCCCCGCTTGTTTTCCCCTGTGTGTGAACAAACATGGCTTCGCCGCGGCTGAGCGACAACGAGGTTTTCGTTCCGAAGAGGAACGCAGGGTTTCCTTAGCGCGCGGCGCTAACAACTTAGTGACGTGACATGTCTCGGAGAAAACGTAAAAACGCGTTGGACACTTCTTCTGAAGCAGGAAATAACACTTCTTCTTAAGCAGAGCACGACGTCGCCTCGGCTCATCCACCCTCTGCCGAGCCGGTGTCGGTACCGGACTGAGCTCGGTCACTGGGTCGCTGGAGCTGCCCCGTGACTGCCTGATGGAAAACCAGCGGGTTTCATCAGACTCGTAGTTTCTTGTTTTTGCTGGGACCCCCTGTATTTTACCGCTCCCTCCTGCAGTCTTCCTCTATTACAATTTAAAATGATTCTGTAAACTCCGTGTATCAATAGAAACAATCTCTGCCTCTGCCAGCTGCAGTAAATGTAGTTTCCAAATAATAAGAGGTTTCCAAATAATAAGAGGTGCATTCATCTGTGTATCTCCTTTGATCCACATTAGTGATATTCTCAGCACCAGAACAGTGAAGCAAAGAAAGATTCCTGAGTTTGTTAGTAATTTTATTTATTAGGTGCATCTAACCTGTTCTATTTTTCTCTGAAATGAGATCAAATCAGTGCTTCTATGGGTTGTCTCCAATCTGCACTGGAAAATTTTACTTTATTTAGAGACTTCTTGCAGAAAATATTCAGAATGCGCAGTTATTTGCTACCACAAGCGATCTCTGGTCCAGCCGCACATCAGAGCCGTATTTGAGCTTAACTATCCACTACATGAGCAACTGGGAGCTACATAGTATTTTGAACAAGTGAATGTTTGCACAATACGTTTGCAATTGACATGTTTGCACTTTAAAGAGCGGGTCAATTGAGCCTCGGAGTCCTTCTCCACCCACATATCAATTTTAAAAAATGCAACATTAGTAGGCGTTGCCTGGAGGACCGAGAGGGCGGAGCCGCGGCAGTGACGAAGACGATGGCTAACTAGACGAAGCTAGCTCCCTTCACTCTGAGCAGTTGATAGAAGTGGAGGACGTTTCTCCCCCTCCTTACAGACACTCGAGAAGAAAGGGACCAAGTCTATTTGGAGGAGACAAGCGGACCTGAGTCTTATTGTTTTGAGCTTGTGAGTTGCCTGAAACTCCCAGAACCGACCCAACAGAATCACCTCTGAAAGGTAAGTAGCCGTTAGCCATAGCATTGGATTAGCTGCAGGGTTTGTCTCCACGGCCCCAAAAAGCTAGTATTCAGCATGTTTTAGAGGTTTATCTGCTTCAGCACACCTGGTTTTAATCAGCAACAAATAGCTGAGCTGCTTAACAGCTAATCTAACCTGTTAAAGCAGGAAAATCCACTGAAACATGCTGGATAGCTCTCCGGTAGCCCTGGGCTCAAGGTACAGTCTGCTGCATATAAAGTTATGAAAATACCCCATGAGAAAATTATTCTGTAATGTGTTCAGCCCACTAAAACTGCCCTGATTTCTTTATTTATTTACTAATAACAGCTGCTCTCTCGGTTCTAGGTCCTCTGGTGTCTGCAGCTGGTCTCTGGTGTCTGCAGCTGGTCTCTGCTGGTGTCCTCAGGATCAGGAACTTCCAGAAGAATGTGCCTTTCAATGACTCTTTCCCCCTTATTTGTTATATTAATTAAATAAATCTCAATTTATATATTTCCTGTTTTTGTTCATGTCCATAAATACTTAAACATGCTTGAAATTATAACGAGCTTTTAACAGTGAGGTGCTAGTTTAATTAATCACAATAGCTAGTTAAACATGCAACAAAAATGTGATATTCAATGTAATTTATAAATATCCATTAAAATATCAAAACTGGAATCTAAATGAGATATTTGGCAGAACAAAAAACTTGTCAAACACAATATTTATTATAATAATTGTAGGCAGACAGGAGACAGAGCTGATGGAGGTTCTCAGTCATCGAAGGATGGCTGAAGGCTTTCCAGGAACAGGAGATGTGGTGTTGTCTCTTCTCTCTCTATTCTGCCAGATGAGCTGATAGGTTACAGGTGTGTGAGGACATCCTCATGCTGTCATAACCAGATGACAGGAGTTATCAGGTGATCAGCCAGGCTAATGAGATGCAGAAAGAAAACAAATTCAGGACAGTGTACAATATGTGGTGTTGCTCACCTTATGTGCTCTTATAGAATATTAATGTGTGCCTGCCTCATGGTGTAGTCCATATTTTGCTGAATGTCCTGCAATAATGCAGGTTATTAGTTAATTTACTTTTGATAGCAAAAACAAAATATTCAATGTAAAAGTTATTTTCCAGGAGAATCAGCTCACACGTCACCACCAAGTGTCACAGGGGCAGAATCAGTAGCCTCCGTCATGATGTAATCACATACTTATTTAATTGTTAATATCTTAAAAATTCTGAAATGTTTTAATTTTTTTTTTACCTTGAACAGTTCACTGAGCTTGCACTGTCACTGAGGTGGAAGCTGGAATCAACAGCAGACACCTCACACCTTGGTCTTTTCAGGGGGTCTGGACGCTCTGGGACCTTCTGGAAGATGAATTTTCATCATGGTCCCCGTGGGTCACCAGACACACTGCGGCTGTGAACTCCATTCTGGCTGGCTATGTAAAAACAAAGAAGCAGCACATTTATAAATGTTTAAAAGAGCATAAAATCACGTGTAAAAATAATCTGTAAAACAAATTAAAACTAGAAGGTGATAATAAAATGTTTACATAGAAGATTATTAAAAATAATTCACCTTTGCTACAGGGAAGGTTTCACATCAGCCTGGACAAGTACATTCATGCAGCTAAATCAGTCTGACAGCCAGTGTCTTGGGTAGATTTAGCCTGAAAAAAAAATAGAAGCACATTGTTGTTGGAGTTTATAGTCAGATAATATACAAAAGAATCTCCTATATAGGCGCTTTATAACATTCCTAGTGTGTGATCGTTGTTATAACGTAAAAGTCAGTCACATATGATGTGGAGAGCCTGAAATGCGACCTCCTGAACAGAATTCCTCACAGAACCGGGTCACAAGCTGGATTTCACGCTGTAATGCTGTCAACAAGTGCTGCGTCAGTTAGTCACTGTTGCAGAATTGCCGACTGACTAGCTAAAGGAAGTGAACCACGTCTCTCAGACTTTGCATTTAGGTAGGGAATTGTCTTTAGAAGATGTTAAAACGTTTATTTAGCTGACTCACCTCAGACTGGAGCCCGCCGTGGTGGGGGAGCAGAGTCGGTGGGCTGCATCTAAATCGCGGAAGAGCCACGGTGGGCACAGCCTCCCTCTTCAAACGGAGACGTGCAGAATCGCGGGTAAAATGCCCACAGAGTCACCGCAACCATACTACACTACACCTACTCACCAATACTAAGACGATATGGAACACTAAACCCGAACTACTTTCCCAATTACACTAACAGCCAAACACTAACTAAACTATAATATACAACAGCCAAGCTAACACTAAATAAGTATTTATAACACTAAAAGATATGCTAAAGACTAGGATATGCTAATGCTATACGCTAATGCTGAACTACCGCTGACCACCTACACTCGCTTGCAAATCCAACTCCCACTCGCCACAGGGCGTGGCCGAGACGCTCGTTGCTTTTATAACTTTGGCACGGAGCTGCTACGTAGTACTCTACTGGTTTACGTAGTACTTTACTCTTTAGCCATTGGCTAAAATTTATTCAAAATGACTCAAATTCTATGTTTTCAGCTGAAGGTGGCGCATTACTGTGGTTTTTAGACAGAATTTTTAATTTTTAAAGAAAATGCACCAAAATGCTAAAATAAAGAATGCACACATTTAAAACACTATTAGACACTCATTTATACAGTTCATCAGCAAAAAAAAGTTAATTTAGACGTTACTTGCTCTTTAAATATGTTTACGATTTTAATTTATGTTAAGTTACTTGAAAAACGAGAAAAACTGATTTTTGTAATTGTTTCTCTCAGGGCTTTTATCATCTCTGGTGTGAGTTTAAAATATAAGTGTGTTAGCACTGTGCTGATTATCCCTAATATGAATAAATGTTTATTTATTCAATGTTTCTCTTCTTTAATACGCAATTGAAGTTATGCTATTCATGGATAAAAAAAAATCGTGATAAAATCGAAATTGTGATAAAATATTGGAAAAATCGTGATATTCTATTTTTGCCATATCGCCCAGCCCTACTCCCAACTCAGAAAAGGGGAAAGAAAATAACCCAGGCTGTGGGTGCTTTCATTGCGAAGGATTTACGACCGTATTCTGTCGTGGAAAACCCTGGGTTCAAACACATATTATAGACACTGGAGCCACGATACAAGGTCCCTGCACGTAGCCACTTCGCAGAGCAGGTAATTCCTGCACTGTGTGACGAAACCAAAGCCAAGATATTAACCTCCATGAGCAAAGCGAATTTCGTAGCAATAACATGCGATTCCTGGACTTCAGTGGCAACAGTCCTATATTACAGTGATGGCACACAACATGAGCGAGGACTGGCAGATTATTTCCCACGTGCTGCAGACGACAGCTGTTTATGAGTCTCACACAGGTGCACATCTGGCAGAGCTACTTTCGGATGTTGTTTCAGAGTGGCAGCTGTCAGACAAAGATATCTCCTGGTTACAGGCAACGCTTCAAACATGATTCTTGCAGCTCAAATCAGAAAATTCAAACATGTCAGATGCTTCGCTCACACCTTGAACATGGCATCGCTTACCAGGCTTCCATCATAGCACGACAGCAAGCCACTGTTTAAAGCAGGGGTGTCCAATCCTGGTCCTCGAGGGCCGGTATCCAGCACGTTTTCGTTTTAACTTGCTTCAACACCCCTGATTTCAATCAGCAGGTGATTAACAGGCTTCTGCAGAGCTTGATGAGCTGCTGCACAGGTGATTCAACCAGCTAATCAAGAGTGTTGTAGCAGAAAAACCACAAAACCTGCTGGTTACCGGCCCTCCAGGACCAGGACATGACACCCCTGATTTAAAGGTAAATCAGAAATGCCTGGGTTTGAAAAATCAAAAACTACTCACAGATGTATCACCAACGTGGAACAGTTCCTACGACATGGTCCAGAGGTTTTTGGAACAGCAACCTGCCATTTGTGCCACCTTGTTGTCACCGGAAGTTAGAAAAGGAGAGTCTGACATCTGCACACTCAACGAGACAGATGTATCTAACGCTGAAGACACTGTCAGTGCGTTAAAAGCAATGAAAGATGGAACCACATTAATATCTGCGGAGAGCAATCCAACCATCTCCTTGATTGCACCACTCAAGGCACAACTTCTCCAAAACATGACCAGCAACATCAGCGACTCACCCACGAATCACGACATCAAGAATGCTGTCAGAACAGATCTCATGAACAGGTACAGCAGTGAGGCAGAGAAGAAAATGCTTTGTACAGCCTCGGCCCTGGATCCCCGCTTTAAGGGATTACCTTTCCTGACAAAGAAGGAGCGATCAGATGTCTACAGAGAAGTGACTGAGGAGGCAACATGTTTGGCAGTAAATTCATCATCTTTCTTTTTAAATTACCATATCAATTTCTGTATAATATTCTTAATAATTTGTCATGTTTGGTATTGTAAGTAATTATTTACATTAGCATAAAACAAGTAAATCCACCGGAATGCTTTTTATCATAATAAAAATAAATATTATGATAAGGTACATCAACATTTTTAAAAAGTGTGATTAACCATTATTACATATTTTAAAAGATTGAAAGCCCTACAATTAAGACATTGTTAGATTAGTAAGTTCCCTATCAGATAAAATAATGATATTTTTATTTTTTCCCTAAACAGCAGCAGGAGTGTATTCTGGCCATGCGTGCGAAAGTTCCGGTGCAACCCGAAGTTCAGAAGGATGGAACCTCAGCAGACGATCCCTCGGCTGCTAAAAGAAAGCCTACATCATTACTTGTGAGCTCGCTGGGACAGTCTTTCAATGATGTTGAGGTTAGTGAAGAATCCAAGACCCCCCTAGGTCAGAGCTGAAGAGGAAATGGATAATTATTTGAAAACTTCATGATTGCCCCTGTTTGAGGACCCTTTAAACTGGTGGAGGGTACACAAGGTTGCATTTCCTCTCCTGGCTCGACTGTCAAAACGATACCTTTGCATCACTGGAACACGTGTATCTGTGTTTTCTCCACTGCTGGATACGTTGTCACGGCCAAAAGATCTACTCTCAAACCACAGCATGTAGATCAACTGGTGTTCTTGCACAAAAACCTTCAACTTCCAAATGTTAACTAGTCATCTTTATTACTTTTCAGTACATCTTCTTAAATTCAAACAAATGTTAAAATGTTTGCACTTTTTGTTGTCTCAAGGACTGTTATGTATTATTTGTGGATTTTCCAAAATATGTCAGTATTGGTAAAGATTTTGCGAACATCTGAAGAACATGTTTTTTCCCACACAGCCTGAGAAGTGAATGTTAAATTGTCACGGTGTAGGAGGTGGAGATGATGGACCATGTGTGGCAGAGCTGAGCAGGAGGTAAAAAATGCAGGCTTCAGGAAAAGTAAAAATGGTTTAATGGCAGGATGGGATGAACAGGACACCGACAAACAACAACAACAACAATGAACTGACAAAGGACAGGGGCAAACAGGTGGTTTAAATACAGAGGGCTAATTAGGGAAACACAGGCAGGTAAACGAGGGACAGGTGAGAACAATAAGGGTAATCATGGCAGGAGAGGAACACAGTCAGGCGGGCAGGGGCAGATCGTGACATAAATAAGGAAAGATATTTTTTATGTTCTTAAGTCCTCTTAAATTTAAACAGTTTTGCACATTTGTATAAGGACTGTTATCGTAGGAGAGAATACCGCAAAGTTTCCAAATAATTATTTTTTATGTATGGTTGTTCAGAGTTGTTAAATATGTTGTTAGCATCTACAGAACATGTTTCTCCAACAGCCTGAGACATGAATGTTTAATGAGGAAAGAGATTCAGGTTTTTTTTTTTTGTTTTTTATTTTTTTGCTGTGCAATCCTCTTAAATGCAAACTAATCAGAATCAGAATCAGAATAGGTTTATTGCCATTGTCAGTGAACAAACAATTCACAAACTAGGAACTTGCTTCGGTACTAATGTGCTACATATAACATGAATAATAAGATTAAAAATAGAATAAAACTTTCAGCTATAAAAAATGGCAGGTAAAGGTAATAAGGCCGATAACGTGACGTTATGTCAAGTACCGAAGACGAGCATAGTTGTGTGTTCATAATCTATTCACAAGTCTAACGGCAGATGGAAAGAAGCTGTTCTTATGGCGGGAGGTTCTGGTCCGGATGGACCGTAACCTCCTGCCTGAGGGAAGCGGCTCAAAAAGTCTGTGACCCGGGTGCGAAGGGTCAGCTGCTATCCGACCTGCACGCCCCCGAGTTCTGGAGATGTACGGGTCCTGGAGAGATGGAAGGCTGCAGCCAATCACCTTCTCAGCGGAGCGCACAATGCGCTGCAGTCTGTGTTTGTCCCTCACCGTGGCTCCAGCGTACCACACAGCGATGGAGGAGGTGAGGATGGACTCAATGATGGCCGTGTAAAACTGCACCATCATCTGGGCCGGCAGCTTGGCCTTTTTCAACTGCTGCAGAAAGTACATCCTCTGCTGGGCCTTTTTGATCAGGGAGCTGATGGATGGCTCCCACCTAAGGTCATGTGTGATGGTGGTTCCGAGGAAGCGGAAGGAGTCCACAGTGGTGACGGGGGTGTCCGTCAGGACGAGGGGGAGAGATGGGGCTGTGACTTTCCTGAAGTCCACAATCATCTCCACTGTCTTCTGAGCATTGAGCTCCAGGTTGTTGCTGCTGCACCAGTACACCAGCCGATCCACCTCCCTCCTGTAGGCAGACTCATCACCGTCAGAGATGAGCCCGATGAGGGTGGTGTCGTCCGCAAACTTGCTTCAAATGTTTTGTACTTTTACACTGTCCCAAGGACTGTTATCAGAAAGCTGGTTACAGCATATTCATGCAAATACAAATTTTTGTTGGATAAAAAAGCAAATGTCTAACATATATTTATAGATGACAGCAAATCCATATGAAATAATCATGATGCATCGAGATATCGAATCGAATTGAATGGCTGACAGTAATCGTAATCGAATCGTGAGACTGGTGAAGATTCACACCTCTAGTACTGGTTTTGCAGTACTCCTATCAAACACACCAAACTCATCACAGCTTAGGCTCACAATGAACTGGCATCTTCTGTTCACAGTAGATCACTCATCCCAAAAGCACCACCAGTCTGAATCACAGCGAGCAGAGCGTGATGAGCTGTTGTTGGACATGATAGACAGTTACTATTGGTACTGGTTGCTCGACAGATCCACATGTGGTATCACAAGATGGATTTGGGATCCGTGGACAAACCAGCAACTTTGGATTGAATAATGAATGAGGAGGGAAGGCCATTTGACATCTGTCAAAACCAGAACTAAGTGGAAATGCTTCAATGTAGAAAGTGAAGGAAGCGACTAAAAAAATTGGGGGGGGATCTGGTACCTATCTCCAGCAGTCTCCGGGCAAACATGCGAGGTCCACCTGGATGGGTTGCCAGTCCATTGAAGGATAATGCAGAGACACACAGGAAAAACAACCATGAAAACACACACGCATTCACACCTAAGGACAATTTAGAGAGACCAATTAACCTGACAGCGCTCACCACTGCACCACTGTGCAGCTTGTAACCCAATTATATTAAGCTAAAACAATTTACACCTATTATTTTCTTACTTTTTTTAATAAAAGAACAGAAAGATAAGAAATAAGAGCTACAAATTTTGACAGTGACTAAATGAAGAGGTCAATACAAAACCTTTTTATGCTTC